GATTTCACAGAAGAACTGGTCCAGGACATTGCCTTGGCAGAGGGGTAGGGAAAATGTATTGGCAGTTTGTAGCACAGCACAGATGAACCCACTGGCCCAGGCAGCTGCTGCCATGTGGACACAAGCTCTGCTGCCCAGCAGGGTCCCGTAGTGCAGGGGTTTGCAGATGGCAACATAGCGGTCATAGGCCATGACAGTGAGAAGAGAAAACTCTGCTGAAATGAAAAAGACAAACACAAAGACTTGGGCAGCACATCCTTGGTAGGAGATGGCCCTGGTGTCCCACAGGGAATTGGCCATGGCTTTGGGGAGAGTGGTGGAGATGGAGCCCAGGTCTATGAGGGAGAGGTTGAGGAGGAAGAAGTACATGGGGGTGTGGAGACGGCGGTCACAGGCTATGGTGGTGATGATGAGGCCGTTGCCCAGGAGGGCAGCCAGGTAGATGGCCAGGAAGAGCCAGAAGTGCAAGAGCTGCAGCTCCCGCGTGTCTGCGAACGCCAGGAGGAGGAAATCAGTGATGGAGCTGCCATTGGACATTTGCTGCCTCTGGGCATGGGGCCCTGGCGTAAGAGAAAAAGACAGTGACGAGTTAGGGCAGACATCTCTGAGCAAAATCAAAGCCATCTCGCATAGACCCTCCGCCTATCACACACAGACACCCTTTTCCTTTTCTAGGAGACTTTCCTTCAGCTCTGTGGCTGCAGCGCTGGTTGGTGCTGGCCAAGTGTGCAATGAAGAGCAGGCCCTCTGCCCGTGGGCTCTTGATAAATCAGCAGTGGTTCATGGGAATGGTGGGGGAATGGCCCAGTGCTGGTGTTCGACTTCGTCAGATGAAACTGCTCCCAGTGCAGAAGGGCCTGTCAGCATCTGCACTGCCTGTGCTAAGGAACGGGGATGGTAAAGGCAGTTTTAGAGTTCTAGGTTTTTTACAGCTTCCCCCTCCATCTCCCCTGGGGAGTTTTCTGGGATCTCAGAAACCCTCGGCATTTCTGCTGTACTCAGGGAGAACAGAGTGAGCCCTGCAAGGCAAGAGGGTTGCCTGTGGCTCAATGCAGAGTGAGGGGAACTGATCTGTCCCTCTGCCTAGTTCCCAGTTTCCCTGTGCTTGCACCTATCAGAGATGGAGGGTGGTTAAACCCCCATGTTATCCTGAAAAGCCACCAGACACTGCTGAGAGCAG